GTCTCATGTTCAAAAGCTGTTATGGAGGCCAGCTAAATGGAGTAAATGACTCGGTGCCAGTCCCCAACTGCACACGGGCACCCGAAAAATACGCGGGTGTCGTACAAAGTACCAAGGGTATGGTTCTCGGCAACGCAAATCTGCAGTCCTAAATCTATATTAGTTTCTTTTGTGGTTCCCGATTCCTTCCTAACTACTCTATCTCAATATTCTATTCATCTCATAAGCAAATACGTACGACGAGCTTCTTCGGACAACCTCAGTGTAGAGCAAAAGAAGAACATACAGAACACTTCTGAAAAGAAGTGAACAGAATTTCAAGAGACACTCTCTGGCTTCTTACGTAGCGTATCAAGATGCATCGTTCTTGATGTTCGCAACGCTCTCAGATATTGCTTCTGGGGATGTGCCAGGGGCCTGTCGGAGCCGATGAGCCACACTCAGCCGGACTGCTCCGCCCTAGTACGGAAAAGGCGCGGCGCCGCGGACTGCCGGCCGTCTGCCAAGGACTTACTGGGCCCGGGACGCGTCGCTTAAATTTCCCTGAGGATTTTGTCATCAGTCCTTGCGCCATCCGGGTGCAAACTGCCTAATTTGTGTTCCGCTCGTCGGCAGTGTCATCCGATCTCATCATCCGGTTGAAAACTCCAGCATAGACCGGGTACCCGCGGACGATTACCGAAGACTCGCTCATCATTCGTCACAGGATGATGCCAGCTTCTGTTCTAAATGTCGATTAGTGAACGGTTAGTAGAGCCTATGTTGACAAATGTGACCTATATTCCCGAGGTTGGCGGCCTTCACCTGATTCGTGAGCAACATGGCCATCAGATCACACACTGCCACTAGCCCCGGATGGATCGAGTTCTTCGATTACATCCTGGGACTGTCAAGCAACATTGACTCAGCCTTGAATGAAGGGGCTGATTTTCGAACCGGCCTGGAGTTAAGTTGATTGTGTCAAGCTCCTGGTCAGCTGCTTCTGGAGTGATCACACCCCGCCAAGCCTATTAACAGGTCGCCGAGCTGAAGTGTCTGACTCTGTATCCCATCCAGGCCGGCCTTGGAGCGTCACGACATGCGCTCGTAGAAGTGATTGGCAGTATAATTGAGTTTAGGTTAGCCTTAACAGGCCCGCTACGTTGGTTGACAGTGCCTACCTAAGCCGCTACGCGATGAAGCGATGTGGGTGTAGATCCCTGTTAGCGGGCCTCAGTAGTAAAGCGCGCCGAGACTGCCGTCGATAGCACAGCACAGCAAATCCCCAAAACTAGCACCGTGGCAGAAGATCCGGCGCATCGAATAGATGACCCTCATTCAGACGAGTAGGTCGTGCAGTCCGCCTCGGCTGAGGGCTTCGTGTATATCATGGGCTGGGCTTTCAAGCCCTTTGTGGCTCCAGGCTTGGGCAACACTCGGCATACGTTCTTTTCGTCACTTTTAAGCGAACCCACTCTCGTTAGTCGAACATGAAGTTCGACATCCGACACTCTTTACTGCTCAGTTTGAGCTTGTTGTCTTTCACAGCGGTAGGGGCTGATATTCCAGAGGAGCCCTACATCAATGATGCTCCACTCGTGAGACGGCAAGGCCCACTGAGGAACGGCACTAGTTCAGTCGTTCCTTTGTCTAGCCGTCGTCCATCGGTGATACCTTCATCGAGCCGTCGCCCCTCAGTCATACCCTCATCTAGCCGTCGTTCTTCAGTTCAGCCCTCGCCTAGCCGCGGTACTTCAGTTTTACCCTCATCTAGTCGTCGCCCTTCTCTTCCCCCTTCAACAAACATCCCTTCTGGAACCCCGACACCAAGCCAACCTCCTTCGGTGCCCCCCACGATCTCACTATCAGTCACCAAGCCTCCCGTTTCATCAGCAGCACCGACGTCGACGGCTCCCCCAGCCACGACGACAGTAAGCAATGGCGACACCATCGTTGTCCCGGTGGGTGTTACCGTAGTTGGGGGCGTTGGAGGTGGATTCTTCACCGTCGCCGGCTCATCGGCAGGCCCAGTTGCCGTAGCTGCCGGCGCAAGTACGGTGGCTGGATCTTCGCACGGTGACAACCCTGACGACCCGGAGAACAAGCCACCCAGCTCCGCGCCCGAACCTCCCTCCGCACCACCTAGTTCCGCGCCACCACCCAGCTCCGCCCCGCCTAGCTCCGCCCCGCCCAGCTCCACCTCCGAAGCTCCCACGAGTACATCGAGCGCTCTGCCGAGCGAGACTCCCAAGGCGTGCATCATCTTCTGCAAGGATGGAGCCACTACCCAAGAAAAGACCAGCTTCATAACCCTGCTTGATACGGTGCTCGGCAAGGGCAACTACCGCAAGACGGAGGATACGGTGGTGTTGTTTGCGGCCGCCAACATTACGGCGTCACAGAACTCAACTCTCATCAAGGACCCCACGGTACGTCAGAGTGCTTCTCTCAATGATGCTCTGCACCTTTCATTGGCAATCTGTAGCTAAGATCTTACTTAGGTTGCGGGCGTGGAGCTCGACCAGCTGTATGACACTGACGACAGGCCAGGCTCGCTCGTTCCGAACAGCAAGCGTGCCGAAGATGTTGACGAGAAGTGGTTCATGGAGTCGCTGGATCGGCGTGGAGAGATCAAGAAGCGCGCCGTGGTCAAGCAAGACAAGGCACCCGTCGAACTCATCATGTTCTCGCAACCTCCCTTGGTCGACATCAAAGCACTCACGAGCTATTCCTACGACGACAGCGCAGGAGCTGGTATTACCGTCTACGTACTAGATAGCGGATACTACACTAAGAACAGCGTGAGTAGGCAGGCCTTCCACTATGAATATCTCAGAACTAATGAGGTTTGTGTAATAGGAGTACACTGGAATGGCTGTAAAGCCACGATGGATTTTTGCAGGCACCCAAGCGGAGAAGTCAGTCGAGGAGGACCGTGACTCCGACGGCCATGGCAGTTGCGCTGGCTCAAAGGTCAACGGGCCCAAATATGGTGTTGCCAAGAAGGCAGAGCTCGTTATTGTAAAAGCCGGTGACACATCTGGTGACACCCTTGACGGCCTCGATCAGATCTTGAGGGATGTGAGAGATAAGAAGCTGCAAAACAAAGCGGTTGTCAACTTCTCACGCAACAGTAAGTTTCTCGCTCGATCCAAGGAGGAAGAAGATGCACCCACGTACTGCACTAGCACATACTGACAAGACTGTCACCCTTAGTTGATAATCCCAATTCATTCAACAAGAAGATGCTTCAGCATTACGTCAACGAGTTGATCAAGGAAGACGTCGTCTTCATCACTGCGGCGGGTAATGATAACTCAGATGACGTTGCGGTAAGTGCTCCCTTTAAACATCTTCCTGGTTACGGACTAACGGTATGGATGTCGCAGGCCGGCAAGGCGAAGGCGAAGGACGTTGATGCCTGGCCGTCAATGATGGCTGCTGATGGAGTGCCAATTATTAACGTTGGAGCCACTGACAACACCGGCAAAAACGCGTCCTTTTCTCAAGGAGGCCCTTTGGTCCATGTAATGGCACCGGGCGAACAGATTCAGTGCGCTGCCAACTCATTCTTCTCAAACGCTCAGAAGCAAGACGGCACCTCTTTTGGTGAGTCGCCCTGCTCAGCAACATCCCTGGTGTTCTTCGGGTTACTGACATTATTCCAATAGCGGCGCCGTCTGTTGCCGGTCTCGCAGCCTACCTGCTCGCTCTCGGTGAATACCCCGAGCTTTATCAGTCTGGTAAGGTCGCAGCGAACGTGAAGGACCTTATCGTTGCCATGGCGTATCAACGTGTGGCAGACGGTGGACAGGTAGCTTATAACGGTCAAGGAGCCGTCTGCACCCGGCCCAATAGCGCCAAGTTCAGAAGACAAGACCTCAGTGGAGAGGCTTGCTCAGTCGTCGCATCCACGACAACAATACCTGCCCCTGTCTCCACGACTGCCCTTTCACCGCCCCCCCCTCCGGCTACTACCAGCGAGCTACCTACTACAACATCCGCGCCGCCGCCTCCTCCAGCCCCAAAGACTTTGTACTCGCTGGACGAGAGTATCGGAGGCGGTACCAAGTCGTGCTTCCCGACATCAGGCTTCACCACCTCAGCCGGAACGACGTACGGCTTCTCTTTCGATGTGGATGCCAACCTTTTGGTCAGCATTGAGACTGGCGCTACAGATGAGGGCTACCACCAGTCGATGGGGTCGTGGACGGGCACATTCTACGCCGACTCCGGATCATCCCTCTCAATCTGCGGGCAAAGTTCCGGCGGTGCCTTGCCGTTGAAGTTTACTATAACCGAGGCGCCGTCAGAAGCCGTCAAGGCACCGGCCGGGAAAGAAGTATTGAAGATGGATGAGAACCTGACCGCCGGTGCAACTTCATGCTTCCCGACTAGGGGCCTCGACATCCAGCAGGGCAACTACGGGTTTTCGTACACCACGTCCGACGGGGTGGTTATTCAAATCGGCGATGACAGCTCTGGCCCTAAGTACTTCTCCGGTAACAAGGCGTCGGGCGCTGGTCTGATGTATATAGACTTTTCAGGAGGTAGCATATCTGTTTGCGCAACGAACAACGGCGGTGGAGGAGCGGCTCTTTCCTTGAGTATTACGCAGTGATTGGCAGGTTTTGCTAGCCTCTCAGGAATGGTCAGGGTGGACTTTTGTTATAGACACCAAGAAACTCCCGTTTAGTATGTGCTTGAATGTGTGCCTACCCGAAGCTCGACTCATTCGATATGTCTGCTGACAGATTTCAACGCTGACATGACAGAAGCAGGCTGCAATCTCCTTGTTTGGCATTATGGAGAAGCAGTCCAATTAAACGACTTCCATATTATATCTTCCTCTTGGCGGTACCACGTATCTCCAATCAATCCACATGTTTTGCTGACTCACCATCTCACCATCCATCTCATCTCCAAGGATTTTCCCACTCTTTCATCTAACAACATCTCGTATCCTGGCAACAGGGCTAGTCCACGTCGAAACAACTCGGTCCCCCCCTCGCTCCCATACCATGGACACCGTCACGCTCTCGCTGACGGTTGTCGGCTTGATACCGGTAGTCGCCGACGCAATTCAGCGGGTGCAAGCATTTTATGCGGACGCGAGGAACGCCAAGGCCCTCATTCAGCAACTGATGGAAGAGCTAGAGGCCTTGCGGGGCAGTCTGGTCTCACTGCAGCAACTCCTTGATAGCCCTGCAATCAAGGCAAAGGGCATCAAATTTGACCAATCCTCGGTCCTTGTTTCTTGCTCCAAAGCTTGTGAGGTCAAATTGCAGTCTTTGAGTGAGACCCTGGAAATGTACACGGAAAGCAAAACAAAACAGTTGGCATGGCCTCTGGCCAGACGAAGTGCCACGAGTCACTTGAGACGCTTCGCCATCTTTCCTTTTGGATAGCTTGGCTTATCAATCGAAGGTTGCCGCTTGTTGTCTCTAAGCTCAGCCGATCTTCCAGAAGCATTCGAACAACGCCTTTACGAGTTCAGATCAATCCAAGGTGATATCCACAGCCTAAAGACAGTTGTCAAGAGTCAAGTCAAGGTTATGGAAGATTCTCGCCGAGAACAAAAGCGGCGCGAAGTGCTGGATTGGATTTCCGACTTCGATCATGAAAGAAGACACTTTGAGGCCAAGCACTCGCGGGTAAATGACACTGGTAGTTGGATTACCGAGAATGCCTCTTTCGAAAAATGGCGAGATGATGCGTCATCGCCGAACGTGCTTTGGTGTCATGGGTTGCCTGGCCCAGGCAAAACGGTCTTGGCGTGAGTTATTATGGTTTCCAGAGACATTAACGTAGTAAGGCTAAAGAAGTTTCGAAACAGGTCCGTGGTAGTCGACCATCTGAGGATGTTGCCAACGTCGGAGGTAGCTGTATCGCACTTCTACCTGAAGTACTCTGATGAAGGATCACAGATCCTGTCCACCATTCTGGCGTCGGTTCTGAACCAGGCGCTTTTTGAACTGCCGGAAATACCCAAGGCCGTCATTGAAGCGTTTAGAAGGAACAGAAATGGTAGCCGCATGATGGGCACAGCCGATGCCATGCAGATGCTGCTTGATGTATCAACTCCCCGACGGCGGCTTTACGTTGTGTTGGATGCGTTGGATGAGTGCGACCCATGTCAGCGCCGAAGGCTGTTACTCGCCATAGGCGAGCTGGCCGGATGCAATTCAATCAAGATTCTTGTAACCAGCCGCTGCATATACCGGATATCGTAGCTTCATTGGGAGATAATCCCCAGATTCCAATTCAGGCGCACGACGGCGACCTCACAATGTACATCCAACACACGATTAGCGAGGAGGATCAATACGGTATTAATGACGAGGACTTTGCGAATCATATCAAAAAGCAGATGATAGCCAGGGCAAATAGAACGTGAGTTAAGCCCTCTGCCAACGTGTGGGACCGGTGATATTGAGTTCTCAAAGTTTTCTTCCGGTAGTCCTGCAATTGGGCACGGTTCTTCGAAAGACAACCAGAGGCCACGTGGACGATGCCCTGTGCTCGGTCTCAGACGATCTGGCAATCGTTTTCGAAGAGACAATGGCTCGAATAGAACGCCTTCCCGAAGATCACAGTCTCCTCGCTAGGCGGATCTGGGCTGGCTTGTCCATGCTAAAGCCGGCCTAACATCTGAGGAGTTGGGAGATGGGCTTTCAGCATCAGGATCGGCCAAGATGGGACACGATTCCTGGAGCACTAGACATAGGCCGCCGTCCAAGATGATTAACTGCTGCCAGGGCCTGGTCATAGTTGAGCATGTCACAAATCGTCTGAGTTTTGCGCACTACACAGTCCAGGAATACTTGGAGAGGCACGCTGACGAATTGTTTCCTGGAGCCAAGGAAGACGTTTCGTCAACTTGCTTACTGTATCTTCTGGACGAGGACTTTGTTTCGGGCCCATGCAGCCGCAAGGAGGACGTTCACAAGCGAGTCACCCGGTATCCCTTTGTGCGTTACGCAGCACGATACTGGGGAAAGCATGTTGCACTCACCGAACAGCATCCTGCGGTAAGTGAGCTACTGTCGACGTTTTTGAAGCAAAGAGCATCTACTGCTGCTGCTTGTCAAGTAATGCAATAAGATCGGGGATTCAAGGATCAATATTGGGACCCGGATGAGTGCCTCAGTGTCACACCATTGCACATCGCCTGTAGATACGGCCTGAGAGAGACACTTCAGAAGCTTCTCAAAACCGCTCACATCAAGGACATCAATCTTCGCACGGCCAAGGTCAATTCAACTCCAGTAATCCTTGCAGCCTCCGAGGCTGACCCGGAGTCTGGAGACTCTTGGCCTCTTGCTGGATAGTGGTGCAGACCCGACTATTCATAATTGGTACGGTGATGCACTGCATTGCGCCTGTGAGGCGGGAGAGTCGCAGAATGTGCGGCAGTTGGTCAAATTCGGCATGGTACCCAACGCCTACCCGTCAAGGCAACGGCCTCCCGTCATGTGCACTTTGGATCGCGACGGTGTCGATACTTTTCGAACTCTTGCAGAGCTGGCTGGGGGCCCACTGACAGGCAACTCGAGCTTTATCTCAACATCAGATCCTCATCTTCTACCACTTCTGGTCGCACACGCTGTCGAAAGTAGTGCATATGCCATTTTGAAGTGGCTGTTGGAGAACAAGCAGCAGTATCACCGTGTTGAATGGCTCATGCGGCCCGACGATTACAACTATTCGTCTGAAACAGAGTACCAGTTCGACTTGAACGCGTCATCTCTGGATCGCCCCGCCTTGCATCAAGCGATTCTGCAAGGGGATGTTGAAATGGTTCGTCTCCTTGTATCTTGTGGCGCAAGCCCGTGTGCGAAAGATTCGAATGGCAAAATAGCACTCGGCTACGCAGCCGAGTCTGGCATCGGCGCTCTCGCCAACATACTCAGACCAGACCTGCAAAGTCGTGATTGCGACGGGAGCCAAATATCTGGTAAGAAGAGTAGAATACATTTCCGCCTTCACTGTTAAGATCCCCTGGTACGAAAATAGCATTGGTCTCGTACTATCAGCCACAGGGTTTGGGCTTCATTGTGGAATAGATCGGATTATTCAAGTGACAATGGGAAAGAGACTCTGGAATGAGGAATGCCGATGAGCAAAATATACTGTTGCATGTTGTCAGAATAATGGGTAGACTGAAATTGTTCAGATTCATAGTTTCTGAAGCACCCCGGGGACCACTGCAGTCTAGTCTCCATCACACGATTCCTCGCCATGGATTATTCCCATGCTCGGCCTGCTTCTTCCCCAGAAGTTATTCGCACTTTCAATGCACAATGCGAGTGGTTGTCTAACCGTAACAAGCTTTATGTCCCAAACCAGACGTCGCCCAAGATCAACAGCAATTTCTGATAGCAGCTCCATGGCGTTGGCTCTCCATGAGTCTGCCTGCAGCGATAGCCCGTTAGTGGCACTCATGATTACGTTTTGAGGATTTGTGTTCGAGTAAACAGGCCACTCAACCTCGACGGTTGAGACTTGACATTCGTGTCAATTGAGCTTCTCTATATGTGGCATTCATGGTGTGGAGGTACTTACGTCGGTGATGATTCGGCGATTTAGTGACCGCAAACGAAATCCACATTCGGCTCATGATGGTAGCCAACTCTTGAAAGGCCTCTGGTGGGCTTGGGAATGGACTAGGCTCCCACCCAACCCCGTCTTTGTTTCCAAATACAATGGCAATTTCCTGGGCATGAGTTGCGCCTTTGACTTGCGCATCAAGGTTCGCTGTCGCAGTGTCAAAGAAGTAGCTGTAGCTTGTAACGTTCTGGTCTGACCATATCTGGTTGGCATATCGTCGGCCTGCACCGAGCAGAAAGTCACCCATCCAAAGTGTTGCTGCGCCGTATTGGGAGCCGTACTCTGGGCCTGGATTGGCAAGGACGGTGCCCAGACCTGCCTCTGACGGATGGGTCGACTCATTTTGGTAAGTTTGCAGCCATTCTTGCAGAACTGCGTCAGGGATGACGTGCTGACCAGTCGACTGCTTCATGAACTGGATGAAATCTTCGCTCGTCTCCAACGGGCCTGATTTATTGACATTTACAAACGATGTGCCTTCATTTCGGTTGACACCAATGTGGAGTGGAACTTTGACAAACCTGCCAGTCCTTAATAGCCGAGAATTACGGTCTGGCAGGATCTCCTCATCTATGGTGAAGTAAGGCTGAACTTGAATGCTGGCGGCGTTGAGTTTATCTGCGGAAACTTTCTATAAGCAATCTAGAGTCTCCCTCGAGTTCCCGCAGTTGGTCAGGTCGAGTATCTTCTGAAAGTCCTCCTCTCTCTTCGCACTATCAAGCAAAGCGTACACGGAAAAGGGGCCGCCGCTTTGGGCAATCGCTGCATGGAAAAGCCCATCGTCACGGCCACCGTACGCAAGAAGGTGGAAACCAATGGAGCCTGCGCCTGCTGACTCGCCCATCAAGGTCACCTTGCCTGGGTACCCTCCGAAGGCCGCGACGTTGTCTTGAAAATACTGCGGTGCCTGGCGCTGGTCATGCAAAAGTACGTTGGTAATGCCGTCCCTTTCCGCCAGTGATCCAGGGAGAAGCCCAAACACCCCTAGTCGGTAATTGAAACTGACACAGATGATTGGGGATCCCATTTTCTTGGACTGTTGAACCAGGAACGATCCGTTGTACCTCGGGTCGCTAGCGCTGCCCTCTGCCCAGGCACCACCGTGAATCCAGACCAAAACCGGCAGTTTAGTCTTGGGCCCTAGCCCTGCAGGCCTGATGATACTCAAGAAGAGACAATCCTCACTCATCTGCGATGTTGATGGCTGACTGAAACTCTCCAGCCCAAGAGAATTTCCATAACAGCTCACGCCGTACTCGTCTGCACCTCGGGATCCTTCCCAGGCATCGGATGGCAAGGCTCGCTGGAACCGTAGGTCTCCCTCTGGCGCTTTCGCGTACGGGATGCCCAGGAAAAAGTCTTGGTCGTAATGACTACTGTAGCGACCGGCCAATGTTCCGTTGCGCACTTTGACAAGGGGCTGATCGGAAAGCGGATGACATGACGCCGGTAAGATAGCACCAGTTGCTAGGATGCTTACGATGAGCTTGTTGAGAAAGGCAATCATATTGGAACGAAAAGGAGAAAGTAAGTGGGGCAGCTAACGATGGTGCAGGATCTCCAGAACATACCTCTAGATTGCCAGTTGAGGCTTTTATCAAAACCTTCTTCTATCCTGATATTGGGGCCTTGGTATCATGACCTCGCTCGAGCTCTTGGCATCAAGTAAACAGAGGTATCAGCATACGGATTAACCGATTCTAGGCATCGAAGCATCCACTTCTGCAGCAATGGAGATATCGGCACTACAAGATCTCCAAATAGAACGCTGCCCGGACACCGAGAGGACTGTCGCTTCCGCTCCTTAGCCAGGAGTTACGAGCAGTGCATATGCACAATGCCATTTGCATCATAGTTGCCTCTGTCATTCTACTGGATTGCTTTAATTAAGCAATCAAAATCGGGAACGTAACGATCCAACCAGCGAGCCCGGTTGTGAGCTAATGTAAGGAAGTGTAAGGATCTACTGGGCGGAGTTCTAGCCGGACACCGATGAGTATTCAACCCGGCTTTACGGATGCTACGCGTAGCGAACATTCTAGGCTGGCGCCATACGTTGACCTTCCAAAATACCAATGGGTATGGATTGTACTACGACAGAAGATGAATTAATGTTGTTTTATATCTACTGCAGGTTCAGCGGAATCACGAAGCAATACGGTTACCTTGAGCTGAACGGTCGCTGTTGTGTCAATACAGTAATACAGCTAGCTTGAAATCGGGCGTATATTATGCAGGATTGTCGCATTTTCCTAATCCTTGTTCTAGGATGGTTCTTCATTGTGGCTACCCGTCCTCACCGGTTCTTGTACTTGGACGATATTATTCGTGCACAGGCACCAGTCCCAAATTGTACCATTATGTTCGGCTTGCAAATTGCAATGACGATTAAGGCTCGCTGTTGCTTAGAAGAAGTCTGAAGATGTATCCCGCGCACCTAACTCTAGCCTCAATCTGCGTACAATCATCACACTTGAGATGGCGCCGTCAAAGAAGAAAGAGCGTGAAGCGGGGCCTGTAAGCAAAAAGCCTCGTTCTTCCGAGTACTAATGAATTAGAGCAGACGGCAAACCTCTACACATAAGGATACACCGAAAACGACTTGTTCTTTCAAATAGAAGAGGCCCCTGTGGACCAACCTAGTAAGGGGTCGAAGTCTGTGGACGGCACAGCTTGACTCGCTCAACCCACTGCAGAAGCAATGGAATAAGAAAACGGAGAGAAAAGAACGGGCATTCCCCAGATTATACTTTCTCGGTAGCCATCAAACCTACGTAATTAGCAATATGTGTACTTTCAACATACCAGCTCGATCTCCTATGCGGCGACGACAATCCGGGGAAGGAGACTCGAATGTCCGTCCAGCCCGCAGAGTGCCCGGACCACGCAAAAGCCTTGAGCTGTACATAAACTTCTACAGCTTGCGCAATGGGTATAAAGGTTGCTTGATTCCACTGCACCACTCTATTCCTCTTCTCCTCATCAGCTTACCTTGGATTCACAATCTTAGTACTTTCCGTCGCCGACATCATGAAGTTCCCCAACTTTACCGCGCTCATCCTTTCCGGCCTCGCTCTGGCCGCGCCCAACACCGATATGGAAAAGCGTCAGGGACTCGCAAGAAGACGTCCTTCAAAGTCGAGAACAAGTCAGTTGTACTGTAAGCTAACATTTTTAGTGAGATTCTTGTGCTCAAGCATGCTTGAGAGCTGGTGATAAGCCGACTTACGAAGAGTGCACCCGTGTTCCGGGCTGCGAGTTCGTTTGCAACCCGTAAACTGGCACAGGCAGATCATGAATGTCAGATATCGTTTGAAATGGAAAAGTAGAAGACAAAATAGAAAAGAGTGGGTATTGATGGATTGTTGCCTGGAAAGTTGAAGATACCTACGTTGTGGTTCACCAACTTAGAACAATAGCTGCAAGGAGACTGGAAAGAAGGATTTCTCTCGATTACGTCCCAGATCCGGATCGGGTTCTTCAATTGAAAATTGGATCTTCTGCGCCACTGGATCTTGTAATTTGAATTCATTCATTCAGAAATAAACTTGAGCGCCATAATATTGGGTTTGTTAGCCTTCTCGGCACTCAGGGGCGTCCATATTGCCCGCGGAACGCGTGGGGGCGGATTATTCGGAGGCGGAACTTCGCGAGTCGTACATCATTTCCAACTCCCCCTTTTCGCACGTCGAGATTGTAAAACATTAGTCCGCACCTCTTGGGGCTTTGCATAGTCGTCTTTGGAAGCGTAGATATGTTACTACTGTACTGGCTTGCCTCGCTGCTGCTGCCCATCGTTGTCGCTGTAGCTGAGGCCGACCACCACGGACAAGATGCCTACATCGTGGAGTTCATGGATCGGGTAAGCTGCCGAAATCTGGATGCTATGTCTCACCCGGCTGAACGATACTTAGATACCACCAACGGACCCGATCTTGGCCCTTGAACAGGGCTTAGCTGGGAGAGGGTTGTCTTGTAACCTTGCACCTCGACACATGTTCACTACTTCGCTGTTTTCGGGTGTCTCGTTTATAGCTGACTGTGTCCGCGACGTTTCTACCTCAGAGGCCTCTGCTTTAAGTGCCCTCCGTGCACTCGATATTGTGCAGGACGCTTGGCCAGCTGCATGGGATGCGACGAAGGCTCGACATCAGAGACCAGCGGGTTCCCTATCCAAAGGTTCATCCCAGTAACCTCTTCGAACTTTCAAACGACAGTCATCAGATAACGGCACGATACCAGTAGTCTCTCACGATCACGTATTCCTCACTACTCACAGAGATACGGGGGTCGGCAAACTTCACGCCGAAGGCATCGTCGGCTCAGGGGTACGCATCGCGGTGATCGACACAGGATTCGACCTCAAGGCGCCGGGCCTGGCAGAGACCCGCGTTGCGTACAGCTACAACTCTGCCGAGGATGCCTTCGACTTTGAAGGTGACAATTGCCTTGACTTCCTCCACGGCACACATGTACTGGGCATCATTGCTGCCGACAGCGACGAGCGCCGATTTGGGGTTGTTGGCGTGGCTCCGAACGCAACGATCGACCTCCATGGCCTCGATTCCTGCGACGGAACGCGATCTGGGAGTTTGGATGATTTAATGGCGGCTGTCATTTCGGCGGACGAGAGAGGAGTGGATATGATGATGATAGGGTTTAACATCAAGCTTGCTTTTCTGGAAGGTAATGCCGCTCGGTGTGGCCACAGGTTCCGTTCTTCATGGCATATGCTAATACTTGATAGAACCGGTCGCCAGTCTCGTCAGCCGCGTAGTACGCAATGGCACCGCTGTAACGGTGGCGTCTTCGAATGATGGCCCCGGCCTCTTCACGGGAGCCTCGCCCGCCAGTGGCGAGGGTGTAGCCGCGATTGGATCAACTGACAACTCGGCCACTCCGTACTACACATGGGGAGCGAATTGGACATCTGGCAGTGACCAAGGTGTCTTGCGCTTCGTCCCTTCTTTCCCATCCAACTTTGCCGCCAACAACAACCTCACTCTCTGGATGCCCGCCGACCCCGAGAGCTTCCCCGACGGTTGCAACCCCGCCCCCGGCAACTTCGTCCCGCCGGCTGACCCCGCGAACACGGTGATGCTGATCGACGAAGACCACTGCTGGCTTGATCCCAAGAATACCTCAACACGCCTCGCCATCAGTCTGGGCGTGCCTTACGTCTTGAGGTACCAGTCCGCAAGCACCACGGTGGCGGACGGGATGCAGTGGGTTCCCAATTTTGCAGAGTTCTCTAGACGGTACCAGGGCATTGCCAGGATCTCAAACGAGGGTGGACAGTTGCTGAAGTCACAGCTTGCCAAGGGCAGCATTCACCTATCCTTCCCGAGCGACGTCTCGCAGGCTCAGGAGGATGTCACCTACCGGATCAACGACATCTCCGGAGGCCTGGTCTCCAGCTTCTCCAGTTGGGGTCCGACACCAGAAGGCCGGAGCTATTCCTCATTCGTGGCACCTGGCGAGAACATTCTGAGTACGTTCCTACCCAAGTACGGAGGCTTTGCGGTAATCGGGGGTACGAGCATGTCCAATCCGTTTGCCGTTCGGGTCTTCGCGTTGGTCAAGGAAAAGCATCCCGACTACGATCCCAAACAGATCCTTGTGTAGTGACGACAACTTCAAACCCTGTCAAGTTCATCGATGGGAACAGAAAGTTGTTTGACTATCTGGCTCCGGTATTCAGTCAGGGGGGCGGGTTGGTTGATGCGTGGGCTGCGGTCCACGCCGTTTCGCTGGTCAATGTGTCTAGCCTCGACTTTAACGACACCCTTCACCGGCCCTCCTCTCTTGCATTCACTCTCAAGAATACCGGAACCGAGTCATTGGCTTATTTCCTGTCGCACGTAGGCGCAGCCTCGAGTTACATCCTCGATCAAGCCGATCCGTACTCACTCACGGGAGCAGAGGGGCACCCCGTCTATGCCGAAGTCGAAACCACCCCCTCGTCTATCGAAATCCCACCAAGAGGCGCGGCCGTAGTCTCGGTCTCCATCAAAGTTAACCCAGCTCTACATGTTGCAGCAAAGCGAGGCACCTTCTTCATTCAGTCATCCGCAGCTGCAGCAACCAACCTCACGATTCCATACACCGGCTTCGGCACGCCGCTCGTCAACCTTCCTACGATCAACCCCAACGCATCGTACCTCGTCAGCGTTGACCCAGCCACTACCATTGACACCCGCGTGAAGCCCGGCACAACGTTCGAGTGCTTCTACAACGGCAGCATCCCGAAGCCAGACTGGCCCGCCAGCTGCACGCCCGGTTTTCCAGGATTCAGAAAGACGTTTGTCACGCAGAGCCGGAACTATTCGTACGATTTAGTGGATGCCGCCACGGGTGATGCCATCCTCCCGAGGACATTTGTGGGTACGGCGGAGAGGTACGCGGAGCCATCGGCATGGTGGGTCTGGGACGGGTCGGAGGAGGATCGGAAGTATATCCCGCCCGGCCGGTACTTCTGGCCCGTCCGGGCGCTGAAATTGAGTGGGGATACTGGTAATAAGAAGCACTGGGATGTGTGGGAGTCTGGGAAATGGACTCTGGGTTACGCTCCGGATAGCATCGGGCTGCCGATGGCTTCGCTTTGAGAGCACCAGTGAGATACCTTACCCTCCTCGTTAGCGTGACAACGTCGGCTGACCTTTAACACATATCAACACACAATCTCAGTCTGGTTTTCATATTTGGGTGTGGCTGCGAGAAGATTTTCAAAGTGTTTCAAAGGCTGTATTGAAGTACATATATGGGACAAGATCAGATCCGGGACCCCCAGCAGCTTATCATGCATGCCATTCCCTCACAATCGTGCGTCAAGCAGCGGTCCCCTCGCGTCTGGTGATGTTCGCTTCGATCTAGCATCCGCAGAAGCAGCGCTGGTCACTATTTAACGACATGGTTAGTATCATCTTTCCCTGGGTCGGTGCAGCAAATGACTTGTTTCGCTCTTAGTCAGATTAGGATTTTCATGTCGACTTACCCAAAGGCAGAGAGACCGCAGAAAGGGTTCGTGCAAGGAGCCGTGCAGAAGCTCCTGCAGTCGTTGGGGCTGCTGCATGTGGGCGCAACATTGCTCTGAGGCTCAGGGGCCGGGACAGCAAGGGCCAGGGCGGCAAGCGAGAGGACGGAGATCAGAGAGAACTGCATATTGAAGGGTGTGTTGTTGAGGTGCGTAAAGATGGGTATTAAGCGATTGTATAATTGAATCCTGCTGATAGTTGTAGAAGTTCTGCTGAGTCCATATGCCATTTCGCCTAGCCATGTTGCAATCCTTTTATACCAGGAACCTGTAGACGCTTTGTCTTCGTGCCCGACAAGGGTCCATAGCCATGGTCTTGGGTTCGGTACATGAGACGATCTCAATTTGATTAAGGTAATTACGATGATTTATTTTTCCATCTTGGCATTTCTGCGCAGCTCCCACCGGCTGCGATGACTCGTGCCCGTGGGGTCGATGCGAAGTTGACGCCCGCGGGCGTCTTCCATAGTAGCAGCATCTCCTAAATGGAGAACTCCTCGCCTACAGACGCGACGTTTAGAGACAAAATGCCGTGTAGAATTGTGCACAGGCGTCCTTCTATTGGACCTCTGGCTGCATACAGACGCCTAGCTCCCGAGGGGGGGGGGGAGGGTTACAAAGCTGAATCAGTCGTCCGACGTACTCCGCCGGCCACTTTTTAGGATTCCTAGCGGACTACTCTGTGCAGATCGGTACTCCCAAGGTCAGGATTGACCGCTGACTTAGACATATTAGGGGAGCTCGTAACCAGGGACTCCAAGATGTCATGATATCATCCGAACGGGGCCGTCTTTACATCGATCAATACCTGAACTCTAATCAAATTAAGGCCTTGGGAAAGGTACGACATTTCCTTGCACCAGGAGACATTCTGCTGCTTAGAGTCTGAAACAGCTTCGTAGGGCCAAGATTTAATTTCTGCCTGGTCTCGATAGGCTGAGCCAGGATGTGGGGCATTACAGCGTCACGATTGGCTCAGAGCGGAAAGAAAACACCGAGGCTTATGTCCCCGAAAGGTGTTGAAGACTCAATAACTGAGGGGACCTTCTAGTTGGAACCGATAGTTCACATTAGGTTTCTCGTAGTACGCAAATGCTCCTAGCCTGCCTTAATATCTCCACGTCTCGCGACGTTGTATTCTCCCTAGTCTTTCCCAACACAGCCTTTAACTAGTAGTGCGACTAGTTCCAAATCCCAGTCTAGCAGGGTACTCCATTGCAGCATTGTCCAACGTCGTCATCAGTGCACCAATAGCCGTTGCAGCAGGTGCCGTCGCAGTGACAGCGGGCCTCAATCTGATGAAGCAGAGTCAGTTGATTCCGACAAAATCATGGCGCTGGCTCCTTGCGCGAGTTCGACTTACAAAACCTCTGGCTAGATTGCGGTCTCCGGTCGTTGCCATGGAGTTGGCGCTGGCAATACCAGCTACAAGAAAAGAAAGAATGGTAGTAATTCTCATTTTGCCTGTGCGATGAATACTCTGTCTTGATTTTGGTTGTTCGGAATGGTATCAAGGTGGTACATTTGCTGAACGAGACTCAGCCCTTCTTATAGCTGAACTCTGCATCGTGTGTGACCAAGTTTACATGGTGGTTATCCTTCCTTCGGTCGATTTTGTCAGCGCAATACGAATGCCTGGGTTAATCCTGCCACCCTCCTTCAACGTGGACAATACCGAAGCAGCAAGACACAAGGATTGGCGTAAATCCTTCGTGGTACAATATCTGCATAGCACGCCGATAAAAGTTGGCTTCGCCTTGGCCCTTCCTTCCGATTAACAGGCGAGATCAATATCTGGAAGGTGAGTGTTCTTGCCGAAAGACGAAGGATTCATCAGACATGGATCCTACGTGGGCCGCTAGTCTGACAGAATGTCAGAAATCATATGTTTGGATTGCCTTCCTCTTTTGGACCTGCGAAGTATCATAAGTACGGTAAGATAAGCCCAAATACACCAGACATCTTGTCCTGATGCTGACCGGCGAGCTCGCCAAGTCGACTACCTAGCGTGATGGATTCAAAGCCCTGGACTCAAACGCCCGCGTCAAGAACCGTCTCTCTCCTCCACGACAAGGTTGCTCAAGCTGGACATATCTTTCAATGTCATCGGCAAATTCTAGTCTCCTAATTCATGACTTGCACATATCCCGAATGTTTCACTAGAGAAAATTGTCAGGTATCAGTCACCCGCTCACGAGAACGGCTCAGTTGCAGCGGCGCATGACCATAACTGAGGATGGATCAGAAAGAAAAACGATCTCGTAAAAATGGTCGACTGTAGAGATCCCCAGACCCTTTTCTGTCTCATCCACTGATGACGTCCATGACTTTCTTCTATACCTTTTCGACCTCGCTGACGCCGACCTCGGCTTCTTTCTTGGCAAGGCCACTGCCCCCGGGAGTAATACCCAATTCTTGTCTGATTGCCTCCATCCGGCGCATGTCTTCCTCTCCTTGGTTGCCACCAAACAGTTTGTCCATCTCCTCGATGCGGACGCCCTTTGTTTCCGGGACGAAGAAGTATACCCAGACGATCAGAAGAATGCAGAAAGCTGTGCACAGGGTTTAGCTCATGATTAAGATCAGAGCGGAGGCTTCATGACTTACCAAGGAAGAAGTAGAAGGTGCCAAACGTGATCGCCTCAAGCATTCTTGGGGTAATCAGAGCCACAATGAACTAGAATTCCGACGTCAGATGTCAATCTCTGTCGTCTTAGTTAAGGGAACTTACGTTGCTCAGCCAGTTCGTTCCTATGGCCAGGCCCACTGCTTGGGACCGGACGCCAGGAGGGAAAATCTCGGATGGCACAATCCAGTTGACGCACCCAATACTAAATGCAAAGTTGGCGATGTAAGTCCAAACGAAGACCGCGGCAGCCCAACCAGCTGACTTGTTGCTCGCCCAAGAATCCTTGTAGACCGCGTACAGCGTGCCAACAATCAGTTGGGACACACCCATACCGATGCCGCCGATGATCAATACCTTCTTACGGCCCCATCGATCCATGAACATAATGGCTGGGATCGTGGAGAAGAAGTTTATGACGCCCACCACGCCTGTCGCAAGTAGATCAACGGAATTACCTGACAGTCCAATGTTCTTGAAGATCTTCGGGGCGTAGTAGATGATGGCGTTGATTCCAGTAAATTGTTGAATTATTTGTAGAAGCGCAGCAATAAGTAGGCGACGGTTGAGATGCCGCACGACGAATAGAGACTTGTATCGCCGGATGGTGAGCTTTAAGCGAGAAGTGACACCTGGATACATCGTCTTCGTAGTTTCACGATCGAATTGAGCGGCTGCCATGATCTCAAGGAGTTCAAGTCTGAGACGAGGGTCGTCGGAGGGTACGCGGCGGACGCGAATCAGAGTTGCTAAGGCTTCTTCCTCGCGATCTGTACAGACATCATCAGCTGTGTTGATTGACAGCAACATCCACACAGCATTACCTTTCATTAACAGCCAACGTGGGGTGTAAGGCAGGAAGAATGTGCCCACTGCCAGGACTAGTGAAGGCACGCATTGGAGGGCCAGGGGCAGGCGCCACGCTACTGGAGACTGGCTGTCTCCAGTTCCGCCAATATGCTGGGTTCCGTCTGCTTCGCGTTAGCTTGGTGGGACATCTGATTTATCCCATACGTACAATCCAGCCAGAAGGCAATCATGATGCCCACGGTGATACCAAGTTGCTGAAGCGCGACAAGACTGCCGCGTAGGTTGGGAGGGGCTAGTTCACTCAGGTATAGTGGAACCACCATCGAAAGCTGACCGATGGACAAGCCGGCAATGAAGCGACCAACGAAGATCATGGGAACATTGATGGCTGCAGCTTGTATGATCGAACCGATGAGGAATATGACGTTCGCTAGGAGAATGGTCCATCGTCTGGAAAGAGCATCGGCGATCGGGCCGTTGACCAAGGCTCCGATCATTGCTCCGAGGGTCAAGACAGCCACCATCCATCCTTGAAGAGTGGCGTCGTTTGCTAAGGTTGGGAATTGTTTACCCTTTGTTTGTTAGGTTCGATTCTTGTGAGTTGCGGAAGAGCAGGACGTACGAAGTTGTTCATGACCAGGACACCACTGATCACCCCTTGATCATACCTAGAACCATCATGAGCATGTTGTATAGATCTTGAAAACGCGCCAACCTACCCGAACAAGACGCCCCCAATACTAGCAAAGCATGCTAAAAAGAAGATGTATGGCTGTCGGAAGAGCCCCTTGTAGCCTGGAATACTAAATTCAGAATAATGCCTTGGCGAGGTCGGAGGCAGTTGACATACCGGCTTCGCCATATGAAACCTCCATGTTGAGTGCTTCGCAACTAATGCGTGTCTCGTGGAAGAGTAAAGGTTGGTAGCATATGCAAGAGATGACGAAAGGACCTGAAGGTATGGGATGAAGTCGAATCGTTGGATGGTTCCAATCATCTGATCAAGATCTTCTGCAGAGACCTGGGCGCATCCTCACATAATAAAGAAGTCCGCATCGGAGAATTCGTTCCATAAACCACCCTACAATGTGCAATCACACTCTGGAGTCCCGATATTGGCCGGGGAAACTGGGGAAAGTGGACGTTGGCGTTGCCGTGGACCTGGAACCTAGCGTCGGGCGACTGTGCTCCGAGTACCTGGGGAAGTTGACGATGCCCTCGGCAGTAGAGTTCGTCCCATGATCTGTCGGTCCTGCCCACTCCGATATGCTAGGCTCAATGTTACCTCAGTCGCGTGACTTGTCTCATATCGAATCATCATCCTGCTGTGGCCTGACGGGAAGAAGAAGGCGCGTCATTGCAAGCGTGATGTGACATTATTATCTTGTTGACAACCGCATCAGCGAACCAACTTGGGGATTATTAGTATGTTGTTCTAACTTTTTAGAGCTCATTCAATGGCCTTCCCAGGTTCACCTTGCTGGGGGAAGGGGGTTGGTAGCCAGGTGATAGGTGCCATGCGATGGGCATTTTGATGTTCGCCAATATTTGCCGGCCATGTTGGCCCCTGGGTCGGAAACCCGATCTCGGCCGAACCGTCAAGGATTCGGATCCTGGCTTGAGACAAAGGCGGCACCTTTCCGAGGCCGCTTCCAAGAGCTTCAGACATTCTCCCGTTATGCACAATACGAGAGCTTTTGGGTTCGTAAGCTGGAGGACACAAAAGTGTTCTCTACAATTGATGGGAGTAGATAGCTCTGCCAGTGTGAAAAGCATTTTCAGCGGATCTTTTCAGTGCCCTTTCAATGCGAAACTAGGTTTACATTCTCCATAGCCAACATTATGTTTTAGGTACATAAACCCATACTTACGGAACTGGAAGATGCCCGAGCCTGCCAGACGGAACCAGGCAAAGGGCTACAGCAGGCCATTTCTGTGTTTACGGAGGACAGGAAGTTGTAGTTTAGCGCCTGCAACGGAAACACAGGCAAGAATTTCGTGAAGCCTCGGGGGCCCTGCCAAGTAAAGTAATATGTTCGAACAGAAGCTTTGGTCTGCACACGACGGATGCAGTACACGCCGGACCGTCTCCGCCACTTTTGAATGATGCTAGTGGGGCAAGGCCACCGGACGAGGGACGGAAGGCCGGACACACGGAGACCCATAATAGGCCGGGCGCACTGCAGTTCCACCTCCAGACAAATGTCCCGTGATTTGGTTGCGAAATGCTTGAGTCGTCCATGATTTAGTGAATTCGCTTTGAGGCGATGTCCTTTCTACTTGATTACCCCTCAGCGTGTCCTAAAAATGCAACGCCAAGGGGTTAGTCCTGCAGTTGCAGCGTGTTAGAGTTATCCCTACCGCTTATCGCTGAAGAAATAGTGCGAAATGCCCCATGAAGCTTGCAATCAAATTTTGTTAGGTTGCTGAAGCCCGAACGTGCTAGGCGTCGTCCTGCGAACATGCGCGTCACGGTGAACGGTGTCGCCAGCAAATTCGACTTCATTCGGGAATAAGCACGGCCTAACGTCGCCGAGCAGGTTAGTGAGTCGTGACCATGTTTAATGTTGATGCCTGGACTTTCCCCAATTTTGGTGGATAGAGTGAGTTGATCGGTACATGTTTTTGCCTGTTTCGGCTATGGAAAGGGAGGCGCAGCGCAAGGCTTGTCCCGCAAAAGCTGCGCCCTAAAGCTGAATGCAACGACGCTCAGTGACAGATGTACCTTACATCATTCGGGCCATGAACGTCCTGTAAGTTCGATTGGCGCAAACTTCATAGTAAGGCTGCGTTCGTCGTAGGATTTCATCCCTTGCAGTTTGTAATATAAAAGAGACGACAGTGCCTTGGCAATCGATGCGTATTGCACTACATCAAATTTCTTGAACGCTTTGCAAAACCATTCGTCAAAAAACTGCACTTTTTTCAATACAACAATCACAATCATTCTCGTCAAACCTCACAAGCAATATGAATCACGAGAAGGGCAAACTTGCTGAGGCCGACGCCTACAGTAATCCCCCACCATATCCCGGCAACAACGCGGAGCTGCCAGACTACGAAACACCGAGATTCAACAACACAGCATCAGATACCCGGCTAGTCGCGGCGACCGCAAGATTTCCGCCGATTTTGAATTGCTACTATCAATGGAAGTGGAAGCAAGTTTACTACCTGGGGCCTTCGGCCGAAGAGAAAATGTTTGCCATTTCATTTGATGGCAAGCTATTTTCTACCAAGCAAACTCTTTGCCTTCATAATGGCCCCAGCGACAAGGCACCCGTCATGGCCACCGCGAGCAGGACTGGCATGGGCTGGCACGACCGTTCCACCATCAACGTGAATCGAGAGTTTGGAAGCGGGGAGGATATTAAACTTGAAAAGCCCCAAGATGCAGGCTTCAGGAAGAGTCAAGTCCGAGCCTTCCACATGAAGACTACGAAAGGGAGGGTGGAAGAGTTTCAATGGAGGACATCCCACGGCAACGAGATCAAAGAGCTGGCGGGACACGCATCAGGGTGGAAGCTCGTTCGCATGATGGGACCTGAGTCTATCGGGGGTCACTCGAAGAATCCAGACTTGGGATATTCGAGTGATGGACAAGAGGTCGTGGCAGTTTTGGCGCACAACATGTCATGGAGCATGACCAAGGGCTACAGGTTTGCCTTTATGGGGACAGGACTCACAGGAACTTTGGGCGAGGAATGGGAGGCGACGGCCGTTCTAACAGGATTCTGGCTGTGGTACCAACAAGTCACCACGAATTCTGCCGCAGGTGCCGGGGCGGCCGGGGCGGCAGCATGCTGATACTGTTCGTTGGCAACGCTTTTGGTTTGTCACTTTCTGTTGTCAATACGACATTTGTACCTGAAGACCAGGTAAATCAACTCTCAAAACCCCACGTAAGATAGTTGTAAGACCTGAATTCGGACTAAAATTAAGGAGTAAATTTTCTCAATTATGATCTACCATGGCCGCCGTAAAGCCTGGGAGTCCATATCCGAACCAAAAGAATCTTGAAAATAGAACACCAGTTGCCCCACATCAAAACATCCGTCGTCCGCCACCCCGCGAGATGGTTTGTGCAGTTAGCTGCATCCGTAGCAGATAGTCTGTTCCAGGTTTCTACCACATAGCCAGTGGGTTCGTGGCATTAGCAGGGCGGACCTGGATAACGTCCCAGTGCTCAACGATACACGTGCCATCAAACCGGAAGATGTCGACAATCGCCGTTGGCTCCGGAGCACCAAGTGTGTCCAGGTGGTAGAGAATGTAGCCGGTATTGTTGTCGAAGTTGTTGTGGATGATAGTCATGTTGACCCCTTCAGGCGTGACGAGAGTCGCGAGGAAGTCGACAGAGCTTTGCCTGCCGGAGAGGACGTTCGGGTTGTGCTGGATGTAGTCCTCCGTCATATGATTCAAGAGAGCCTTTGTGGTGTTTCTTTCCACATAGAAGTCGTTGACGAAGTCGTTAAAGATGGCCCGCTGCCCCGCTGGACTAGCTGGGCGGGAAGGACAGTTGGGCAGGGTTGCAGCTGTGGGGTGATAGCTGCCAAGTTTGGAGGCACTAGCAAGAGCAAAGACGCTCACGACGACAGAAATGAGACGCATGACGGGTTGTTGAGGTGCGGTGTGTTTACTTGAAGTCGGGTAAAGTCGAGAAGCCGCTTGTTCACTTGTTGGCGAGACGAGTTGGCGTGAAGTGCGAAAAGAGGGGAAATCCAAGGTCAAGCGGAAGTCGACTGACTTATACAATCCTATGAGATGGAATAAGTGGTTTCTGGCTTTGGTTATGAGGTCTCTCTGCTATGAGGTCGAGTGTACCGGGCACGTCGAGGCCCTTGCCGAGTGGCAGGGGTGACACAACGCTAGCTACCTATTGACTAGGCATTTCGGCCACAGGAAAACTCATGACTCTTTCCATATTGAATCGCAATATTAGATTCAGAGTTGTTATACCCCTGAAGCTGACAAACGTCGCTTTGATGTTGATATTAGTTCTACTAGGGACTGGATGTGACCGACCTGCCAATGACAACGAGTTGAGCTTCGACCTTGCCAAAACGAGGGCAGGAATTACCTGTTGGTCCACTTTTGCTGCCACCGGAGGACCAAAGTTGAAGATGCCGACCCGCGCGCGCGGTAAAGCAAAGCTTGTCGGGGTTGGTAGTGGGTCGTCATCGGACCGCCGATGACACCCGATCGCCGTCCCGGAACCGCCCCTGACTAAGGATCATAAAGATGACAAGACCATGGGACCTGTTTGATTCCGCTTCCCAGAAGGAACATGGTGGAAGCTGTCAAATATATGCATCTTTTCTTCAGGTAAGCTCTGTTAATTCGACGTTTTCACCCGCCTATTCGAATTCAGTCTTACGATCCTTCGAATCGCGAAGAGGAACACCTGTGTTATGTCTGGCGGCTAAATCTCGCAATCTTCAACTGGCCTGCATGGCATCGACGAACTCATCGCTTGCTGTGCCCGTTCATCCGATAACTATGCGAAATACAAGTTACAGTTTCTTTGACAAAAAAAAAAACCTACCAAGCTTCCGCTCGTCAATACCGCGTCTATGCAGGTGGCCGGGCACCCGGGGTACTACATCTGTGGCGCAGTAGCGGAGAGCTGTGGCACGGGCTATCCTCTTATCTCCGACGAAGTCCGAAATACTCATACATTCGCTCGCCCTGGCGTCGGTCGACTGTGCTCCGACAGTCGAGGGGTTCTGAGGGGTAGCATCACGTGTTGTGGCTTGATCACGACCATCAGTGGGCCGAGACACTGTGGAGGCATGAACATCGGGATACATGATCTAGGAGTGTTACCGGGAACTATGAGACCTTGAATTGCTCTACGATTGGCAGCACGTAAACTTTGCGCTGTGCAAGGTCTTATATCTTCGTGGCTGCGTGAAAATGCACAACAATGCAACCATCAGGTCCACCTCACTCAAAATGCCCGACCACCGTGACAGTCCGGGCTTGTGTCAACTGTCAAAAGAGGAAGAGCAGGTGTATGAGAGGCAGCGCACCGAATGACCCTTGCTCTTATTGCTCCAAGACCGGAAAGACATGCAGCTTCGAGAGCCCACCCGATCGGACCCCTCTGACCCGGAAGAACCTGGACGCAGCCGAACTTCGGTGCACACAGCTCCAGAATCTGCTGCGATCGCTTAACCCGGATCTCGATATCGAATCGGCATTGAATCAACCCGGAAATCAACGGCTGGAAAATGACGATAGCTCCAACACTCCGGAAGAATCCGATGAAGTAACCCCGCACAGCTACGAATGGCACGAGGGATCTCTGTCGCCGGAATATAAGTCTTCAACTCATGACAACGATGGCATGGCTATGCTTTCGAGTCACGACTCTGGATACCTCGGTACGAAAGACAACTTTCATCGTTCTACTGATTGTTCCGGTTGCTGATCAAAGGGTTATGTGACAGGAAGCAGTTCTGGGTCGCAACTGTTAGGCGAGATCGACTCGGTCATACACGTATCAAGCACACCAAGGCCCAACCCACCGACATCACATAAACGTCGCAGACAATCATCAAGTTCTGCCGGACTTCCACCTCCAGAGCCTTTAGACCTACCAGTATCATACGTCGCAAGCCGCTTAATTGACGCCTACTTCCTGCTCTACAATAACTGCTACCCCATATTGCATGAGAAGACCTTCCGAGAACGGGTGAATGCGGGACACCGGCAGCGCCTCATTCAATCACCATGGCGCGTCGTCTATCACATGGTGCTAGCCATCGGGCACTGGTTATCAAGTACCGAAACGGAACATCTGCAATCCGGACATTACAGTGCAGCGAGATCAAACCTGTCGCTCCAGATGCTAGAGTCAGGCACGATTGAGACGGTGCAGGCATTTCTTCTAATGGGAAACTACCTCCAGAAGAGAGACCGGACCAACACGGGCTACAACTTCATTGGATTGGCGTATCGAATGGCGTTAGGGCTGGGCCTGCATCGTGAACCTCCGGGACCCGAAGACACCCTCGGCCATGAGCGCCGGAGGCAGCTGTTTTGGACAGTATACTGCTTCGAGAGCGGCTTCAACATTACAACAGGACGGCCACCGACGATGTCAGATGACTTCATTGACACTCGAATTCCACGCAATATTGATGACAAGGTAAGAGTTGGTGACACTGCTTCAAGTATTACCCAAAATGCTCATGGTTACACTTAATAGGAGCTGTCTTTCAAGGCACCCGTGCCATCTCCAGTCAACTACCCGACTACATACTCAGCGGTAATATGCCAAGCTCAACTGGCAAAGATTGCCGATGCTGTCTACCACGAATTCCTCCTAGCAAAGACCGCAAGTACGAAGGTCGAGTACCGTGTGGCAGAGACCATGGAACGGGACCTCAATCGGTGGCGACAAAACCTACCCGGGTACTTCCTCACAACGGACTGCCCGAATTGGTTCAGGGCACCACGATCTGTTGTTCTCTGGAAAGAACAGAATCTTCGCATTCTTCTCTGGCGCGGCAGCCAAAAATACCACAGCTATCTTCCGACTAAAACCAACGCAGAAGAAAAGTGCCTTGAAGTTGCCATGCAAAGTATCCACGACATCGCCACCTTCTGCATGGCCAACGAAGCCTGTCTACACCAGGGCCTCATCTGGTACGCGACGTACTTCTTATTCCAGGCCACGTTGGTCCTGGAAGCCAATTATCTCACCGAAACTAGTCGGCCCGAAGAGGACAGGCTCGCATGGCAGCATTCCGTGTCGAAGGCGCGCGCTTGTCTCAAATCGCTGGAGAAGAAGAGCAGATCAGCGAAGCGCTGCTTGGAGATGTTGGATCGCATCCACAGCCAGTTTCAGTTCCTACCGCAGCTTGATTTGGAGCTGGATCCAACTTGCTTCCAGGTGTCTAGCCTGGGCCAAGATATCACGACAACATACCCCGAGAGCAGTATCATACCTCCTGCTCACGACTTTATGGAGCTGCCGAGCGAGAACGACTTTGCGTTTTACGGGGAAAGTCAGCATGTGTTTGGCGATGATACGACTGACCCGAGCCTCCGGATGTTGCTGAACGAGGCCTCACTTGACTTTATGGACAACATGCCGCTGGACCTCCTACTAGGTGATTGGACTACGTAGAGTTAACCGAGAAAAGCCATTTTAAGTACACTCGGGAACAAACTTGTTGCAGCTACATCATTCATTTTAATTCACTGGTGGCACGGCGTAGGAAAACAAAAGTTCAGATAGTGTTACAGCCAAAAAGTCAGATATCGTCACTGAGATCCGCCACTGCCAAATCATTGCATCTTCGTTCTAATTTCTATTCGATGTCCCTTGTCCAAGTCTATTTGCATCTATTCCCATGTTGCTTTCTTAGGGCAAAACGTAACCTCCGTCAATGATGACATCGCTACCTGTCATGTACGTGGACGCGTCGCTAGCCAGGTACAGGTACAGGCCCTTGATCTCCTTGGTGTGACCCTGTCTGCCCAACGCCGCCATGCGGTACGCCTCTTGCAGCGCCAACGGACCAGCGCCCATCTTAGTGTCGAAGAAACCCGGGGAGACAATGTTGACCCTCGCAAACTCGCGCCATTCGCGGGCAAGAGACTTTCCGAAATGCGTCACGTACGCCTTGGTGGCGTTGTACACGGGCTGATCGACGGGCACGTTGACAATGTGGCCGCTCATGCTGGATGTGATGATGAGGTTGCCAAAGCCCTGGCGGTGGAAGACTTCACCGGCATACTTTGAGCAGTACACGATTCCGTCAACTTTAAAATGTTAGGAACACGGTCACCGGAAAACCATACTTAGAGATCTACAGCAACGTACCGTTGACAGACATCTGTTTCCTGTACTCGTCGAGAGTCTGTTCGAGGATAGGCTTGGAGATGGCCATTCCTAACGCGGTGTAAGTTTTCTTCCCACGCTGATATCACTGCATCAATTATCAACTCACCAGCGTTTGCAATGAAAACATCAATCTTGCCAAAGTCTTGCAGAACCTTGGCGATGGTCTCTTGGACCTGGTTGGAATCCGATACTGAAAGGCATAGTTAGCAACGGGGTCTATGGTCCTACTTTTGTCAGATCTGCCTACCGTCGACCTTGTATGCTGATGTCTTCACGTTATGTGTGCTCGCGAGATCTTTCGACTTCTGAATCGCCGCATCATTTCTATGAATAGATTAACACCTTAATTCCGGTCCATCAAGTTGCCCGAAAACTTACGAGTTGTACCACAACGCAACATTGCCTCCGGCTTCAGCCATCGCCTCGGAAACGGCATATCCAATACCATCCGCGGCACCAGTAACTACAATTATCTTGCCGGTGACTTTGAGCTGTTCCAGAACGTTGGAGGGTGTGTTGGGGAAAGGCCTGGGGAAGCCCTCGCGGGTCTTCTGGCAGTCATCGTTGGACATAGACATGTTGGCGTTGTTCGTGAGATGGTTTGAATGGAGTTATTATGGCAAGAAGTTCTGCGATGTTTCTCAAATCTAAGAAGTTCGTCGCTTTAATGAATGAGTTGGGTTGAGACGTGGCATCGGCCACTCCGCTCCGCGTCGGTGTGCTGTCGTCCGAGAGGGGATTCTTGGTGGGGGCGGGGCAGGTACCCAGCACTGAATCATTGGGGCGCATGTCACCGTCGGCTGAGCCAATCCCGGCAGGCAATGGAGACTGTTTTGTTGGACTGGACGGTCCCTCCTGACGTCATATGTAGAAGTTAAATATCTCTCAAGGTATTGGAGAGCTTGGGTAGTAATTTGGGAGATGCTCTTGGCGCTGACATGGAAGATAGTTAGAATATTTGCATGATGGTCATGGGCAGTCTAGGGAACTGTATGCCACTTCTGAGTCTCAAGCTTAAACGATGCTTTCGCGACGCTAAGAAACCAAAACCAGAACGTACTTCATGCTCTATACTTGGAAATGCATTACACGGTGACAATATCATCCTCGTTACTGAGCATTTCCATTTCTCCATGTCATCCCTAACCTTGCCCCCCTCAGGAAACAATCTCCAGCATGTTCTTGAACAACTCATCCGAATCTTGGCCTAGAGGGCTAGCCATAGTGGGCGCCTCTTTCGCGTCCATGGGAGGATAAATCAGCGCCTGGTTTATGTACGTTTTGATCTGCTTCGCGAGGTCTCCGTGCAGTTTGACCTTTCTTTCCCATCCCTCACCAATGACTGCCCCCCATGCACCTAGGTCGAGACAGTAGTTGTATGCAGCCTGCGAATACTCCATCATAGGTTCTTCAAGTAGCGCTGCGGCAGCGTTATGCCCAGACACGCGACCAAGTTGGAGTGCATGCTGGCAGGACATGAGCGCATGGTGACCGCTCGGATCTGCGATGGCATAGGCAGCGTCACCTGTCGCAAAGATATTCTTATTCGTCGAGGTCTGCAGGTACTTGTCGACATGCAAGCGACCAAGAGAGTCTTTGGGTCCCGCTATCTGCTGCGCAAGAGGGGATGCTCTCATTCCGCCAGTCCAGACCGCTGTATTTGTCGCGATGCGCTCGCCGGAGGCAAGGGCTACTCCCTCCTCGTCAACTGTTGAGACTGCAGATCCAAGTTTGACTTCGATATTTAGCTCTTCCAAGGCTTGTTGGATGATTGGACGAGGTCCAGGTCCGAGTTCCGGGCCAATTTTGCTGGCACTCTCAACCAGAATGATATGTGGCTCGTCAATGTGACCAAGGCGCTTCGGACGCTCCGTTGCGAGTTCGATGCCCGTGAAGCCAGCCCCGCAAATCATAACGATGTCGCGGGTTGCGCTCTGCTGATATGAAGTGAGGCTTTCGAGATGACGCTCTAGTGTGGCGGCAGCTTCTAGCGTGTCGATATCGAATGCATACTGTTCAAGTCCGGTAACACTTCGAGGTTTATTGAGGAGACTTCCCGTCGCGATGATGAGTCGGCTGTAATTGACTGTGATATCTTGTCCCGTTGGCGTATGTACCAGCACACTTTGTTGGATGCCGTCAATCAATTCGGCAGTGCCCTGGACGAAGTCGACACCAGTAGACTGGAATAGTGTCGTCAATGGGTGGGACATGTTGGCAGCATTGCTCTCATAAAGCCTTGGCCGGATCACTAATTCCGGCTCTGGAGCAATGACAATAACCTTGACTTCGTCGGTCTTGTTTTCGAGGTTGATGAGACGAGTTGCTGAGAGGGCACACCACACTCCTGCAAAACCAGCTCCAATGATGACAACTAAGGTCGACATGATAAAGAGGTTTGAGTACTTAGTTGTCAATATGTGAAAAACAGAAGATGAAGCTAGTTAGCTACGAACAGCTGACGCGATCATGTTTCGAGAGTTCGACTTTTATAACGACTTGAGATATCAGGACATCCTAAAGGGTCTTGGAATTTCAAAAGCAACAGGCACTATTAATGCCGAGTGTTTCACCCGCTAGTTCTCTTGGACTCTGGGCTGTACCACACATAGTGCTATGTAATAAGCGGTTACTCGGGTGCCTTTGTCATCATCACGGTCTCTCGTGTTATACCCGTGCCGCTATGCCGGATCCAGTACCCGGATGCCCGGATACCCGCGTCCCCGCTGATCTCTTGCGCCAAACCTACCAATTGCCAGACTCCGACATGGACCCTACAACGAATGATGCCATGGATTCGACCAACATTCCGATGCGCCAGACGAGGGGAGGGACGCGATCCTCTCTCGCATGTCTGCCGTGTCGATCAAAACACTTGAAGTGCGACGGCAAGCGGCCCCAATGCAGCAGCTGTATTGAGTTCGAGAAGCAATGCGACTTTGCCCCATCGCGAAGAGGAGGGTTAGACCGGGCGGCTTTGGCGGAGAGACGCAAAAGACTTGCCGCCGAAGTCCCTGAGTCTGATTCGAATGGAAGCTCGACACCTCGCTCAGAGCAACTTGGTCAACATCAATCGGGGTATGTCACAACCCAAGTACAAGGCTGGGAATTGTTGGACGATTTCAATTTACTTGACGGGGCAACTCTCGGAGATGAATCAGCACAGTCGATTCCAAGGTCATCGCCTCACAGCCGTGCAGGAGACATTGAAACGGACCCTTTGATCAAGTCCTACTACAAGAGCTTTCACAACCTCCATCCACTCCTCCTACCACGAGCCGCCTTCCTCCGGCCTGTCAAGAACCCTCCCCCAACAATCAACTTCGGCCCACTGATAGCAGTGATGCGTCTAATTGGCAACATATATGCCACGCAAGAGTGGTCTAATTCACTCAAGGACAAGGCGGAAGAAGGCTTACTGCAATTATCCCCAGATAGTCCAGTACTGGTTCAGTATCTTTTGCTTTATTCCATTGCCTTGTTTTGGAGTAACTTCAAAGATGAAGCGAAACATCATATGGACTGCGCCACAGAGGTTGCGGAACGTCTTGGGATGCACAAATCTGACTTCTCAAGGCAGTATAATGCCGGCGAACCAGTTCTTGAGGAGTCGTGGAGACGGACTTGGTGGATGCTTTTCATTATCGATGCATACTATGCTGGGACCTTGGGAACCATGAACTTTAGAGTCGGGAACATCGAGGCCACGGTCGAGCTTCCTTGTGAGGAGAGAGAATACGAATCAGAGGTCAGCAAATGCGGTCACACAGCAAAGCGTGCCCGGCGAAAACTAACTCGTATTAGGCCATCCCTCCACCAAAGACTTTGGAAGACTTCGACTCCAGAGAGTTCGCTCCTGAGACTGGTACTTTCTCATCTATCGCGTACCTCATCAGCGCTGTGCGTTGTGCGGCGGTGGCGATATCTACCGTACCCAAGGTCGCCTCAAAGGAAGACTCCGCACAAGTGATTTATTCAGCCGACTCAACCATCGACGGATGGTCTCTACTCCTTCCGAAGGAGCGTAGAAATGTCATGTCAAAAACAGGACAGATTGATGAGCTCATGTTTCAAGCACATCTTCTCATCGGAGTGTAAGATACCCTTCTACGCCTTGATCGCGATGGTCCACTAACATCAGATGTAGAGCGAGCACTGGCCTCCATAGGCCTCTATCTGACCTGAGGTTCAACCTTGTGGAGGACGTGTCAAGCTGTGCCCGAGAGCCACCTGTCGATAACCCGTCGTCAGACTTAATCAACGTGCACACTGTGAGGGTACTCCGGGCAGTCGAGTCGCAAATTCGTCGGCTGGCTTTGCCATCCAGACCATTCCATCACACGCCTTTCACGACTTGCATGGTCAGCGAGGGGACACTTGCGCTCCTCTCGGCTTGCAACTTCTTATTGCAGGGCAAACAGCTAGCAATTGCGAGACACCAAATTCGACTGACGATTGGATGCTTGAAAGCTCTGGGTGAACTTTGGCCAAGGACCACTAAGAACGTGTCGGAGATACAGACCATTGCCCGCCATGTTCTCGGTTTGAAAGGGAAGACTACGATTAGCGATGGCACGCAGACTTCGAACGATGCGGCCAGTCAGTCAGACGAGACGGCTACTACAGGTTTCGGACACAGCGGCTCGAACAATGAGAATGGTACACTCTCTTCTCTTGGGCCCATGGAGGATGTCTGCGGATGGTATGATCCAGGGGACTTTAGTTCAGATTTCGCGCAATGGCCCGAGCATCAAATCTAAACTTGTCAGTGGACTTCTTACTCGCGTTATTTTTGGATGTTTCCTGCCCAATTAGGCTTTCCTGAAGTCGAGTTTGAGACACTCAGCGATAAATCATTGCTGGGGGATGGATGTGAGGATCTTCGAAGCATCAAGAGGCGCAAGCATACGACTCAATCAAATTGTCAGAGAAAACGTATGTTCACAAAGGTTCAAGATATGACACAAAAACGGCCATGGAAGCCCTTTATTTACCCAATATTAGTCAAGGAGAATGTAAATTGTGTTTCCAATCCCACGTATATCCACCCTCGTCAGTGATAGCCTCTGCGCATTTGCTGCCTTGTCAACAAATGTGATGAAGATCCGGCCTCAAAATCCTAATGTGCCCCCTTTGTCTCAAATGATGCCGCCTGTGCATGTTGTTCGCCATTTCAACAGCTGTTGATAGCGCCGTATCTGTTGTGCGTAGCATGCCAGTATGAAGACTTGATCATGCCACTGGAGCAGACAATGGTTGTGGCGAAGTACATATAGACCTCGTTTCCTCCGAATGGTGCGCCGCAGCCGTTTGGCTTCTGAACAGTGCATCCGGGCCAGCGCTTCAGGTTCTCCCACAGAAGGTGACACACGGCCGGAGGGTCATCGACGTCGCTCATCTTGATCTCCCAGAACCTCGTTGCCGCATTTTGAGACATTGAGCATCCGGCTTCGGCTGAGGCGCTACCGATCAGACTCGAGATGGCAACGGCACCGGCGGTGAGAATGGTGGAGAACTTCATTGTACTGAGTTGAAGGGCGAAGGTGGTATGGGAACGCCCAGTTTGAACGAGTGAATTGCCGCGGACGAGGAATACTCAGGGATCGTGGTTGCGACTAAAAGACTTAAGAAGGATGGATTTAATGACCGCTAAATATGCGGATTGTGTGATGAAGGTGATGATACGTTCAGTCAAGAAATGGCGATGAAACAGAATGCATTTATACGTTGAAAGCGCCAAATGGGAATTTCACGTTTCTCTCAGTTCGACTGTTTGTTAACGGAGTTTGCTGGAGCTTTCCACTTTTCAAAGGGAGAAGGAGGCGGGAATCAGAGGAGAGGGCCTTGAGGGAGACGCCTTCGCCATGCTGCGAGATTACCCGTGTAACAGCTGTCGTCCTCGGATTATAAAGTCCAAGACTCGCACAGAACGAACGTTTTCGGTTCGGAGGTTTGTGGACACTCTCAGCCTGCCGTTTCCTGGCCGTATTGCAGTTGGTGATACCCTGCATTCGTCCAAGACATGTCTGATTCCTCCCTTTCTTGCGTGTGGTACAAACCATATAGGTATTGGGCGTTTTCAACTCCAGGCCTGTAACACAATGGGCCGATTCCCCTCATGCAACTTGGCTTTCAACAAACTGCGCACGGGATTACGCTCCGTTCAACAAGCAAACAAGGCCGAGATGTCCCACAGATGTCCGTCGTTGCTTTGCGGAGTACATCGAACAATTTGCCCTGGTTCTGCGATCTCCATATAGAAATCCACATGACAGCTCTCCCCTGGCTAGGTTCTTCTTTCAGTTGGTTCAATTACGTTTGTCATAGGCCCCGGATTGTCTTGCGGACTCCGCGATTTATCATGCCCGATAGTTTTCCCGGCGTGGTTCGCCACGTGCTATGAATTTTAAAAGATTATTATAACTGTAGCTGACGGTGATCTTTTTTCCGGATTGAATGTGATTGCAGATTTTAGCAGCAAATATAGTGGAATCGTTTTCAGAAAATTGACATCCACAAAAGGATCGAGCTGAAGCCTCCGACCATGGGTTGGGGACTCCAGTAAATATCTTCCGCCTCAAATCGAAGCGATTGTTTTCGCGAAGCAAATTCAGCAGAAATATCTCGGAAGCCCGATCATAGCTGCTGCAATTAAAAAGATTGCATCTTAGTCATAATATGGATGCTCTACGTTGGACACCATTGGGGTATAAATTAGACTCGTAGTCGATCTGAAATCTTACTCGTAAATCGATTGCATGCGAACACTTCTCCCGCAGCGACCGAATGAATTGTCGGAGGCGGCTCCGAGCCCGGGTCAGAAGCTGACTGACAGCCCCCTCTCATGAAGCTTAGCAAATGTCAACCAGGGGGCTGGTGAGTCCCACCGACTCCCACGTCCGGCGGACTTCGAACGGAAACTCTATTTGATTGAGATTCGACTTGTTGCCACCCAACTCCTGTCTTTATGAACTGCATACGCATGGCGGAACACGTATGCACGCAAATGTGCTGTTATCCCTCATCAAGGAGCTTCTGCGCCGGCGCCGGCGTCTGTGCCCGCAATTTGTCAATCTCGCTACATGACTTTCACCATCTCGCCAATCTCAGACCAGTACAGAAGCATAAGGTGCTGAGATGGAAATAGGCGCTTTGAAACTCAAAACTTTTGTTCTTCCAATTCTCTCCAGGGTTGTCATCTCACACGCACGGAGATAGCCGTTAATCGTACCCTCGTGACCGGCCAGGGTAGCCTGTGGAAACCTTGCTACTCACAGCCCTCTCGAAAGGATCGCTTTCCGCATCCCTTGGGCTCGACTTCGCCGGGATGAAAGCTTACTAGCCTTCTTTCAGGCTATGAATGTCTGATATCGCTTTCGGGTTGATGCAGGTAATTTTCCCAGTTTCGCAGGGCACATCGACTGCTACTTTTTGAGTCGCTCTTTCTCTGTCAGGCGCCCACATGCCGGCCACAGAGTTTGTAGATAGTCCAGTTTCAGTCAATTCACGCCGCCAAGAAGAAGAAACTAGTAGTCCTATCTGAAAGTTAATGAACGATGTACGACGTATTTCGTGAGATTGTAAAAGTCTGGCGGCTAAATCGCAAAATTCATGAGATGAACGTCGGTTCGATGATAACTGGATAACCCCTGCTTGCCATGTGGTTGCCGCAAACAATGGGAGTCGTTCTGCCCGATTCTTTACATAAGGCGATGGTGGCTGACTCGTGAGGGCGCTGTTTTGTTCCTTTTCAAGAAGGAGAAAACTTCCCCCACGCGGAGACAAGAAGTAACAGCACTCCACCAAGTTCAGTGACAATGACGTGACGATCCTTGCCGCATTCTACCATTGTTCTGGAATCTGAGCAATTTGTAAGGATATCACGAGTTCCAGTAAACATGTCAATAACTTTCAGCAGGCAAAACCCTCCATCATGGAAACCTTATTGTCCGAAAGTCCGTTCGCCCTCCGCAAAATACGACGACTAACTGAACAAAGGGCAGCATTTCTTCTGAGGCTCGTTTCAAATGTCGGCGAAATCCTACTAAACAGAGCCGTAAATCGGCTGTTCTCTCCACCAAGGCCACTTGTTCTCGCGAACTAGCTTTCTACAACGGTCCGCTCCACTAATCAAACTTTATTTCATCGCGTGGCCCCTCGGACTATGGATTTTTTTCTCCCTCGAGACCCCCTTTTCCCATCACATTGGATCGCTTGGGACCATCCGCTGCCTTCGTCCACCGATTTTGGAAAGTCTTTTGAAGCGATGTAGCATCGAAACAACCACAGTGACCAACGGCAGAGTGTCAAACGTCTGCATCTTCATGTTTCCTCTGGCCCCCACACACCGCCGCGCGTACCGGCAGCTGGGGTAGGCTGGTCCGCAGGCACAATGCCGAAGGTGAAATCGGACCCCCTAGAGGGCTAATTGCACAGATTCGGCTAGTCGCCCGACGCCGAACGATCCGAATCCCTGGCGGAACCGGCTCCCAAGCACGAATTTTGTGAATTCTTGGCAGGGTCTGTGTCTTGGCATCTCTCAATGCCCTCATCTCTGGGCCGTTTTTGAGTTCGGCGCATCTGGGACATGGGGAGGCTTAGGAACCACTAGCACTGCCGACCTGCCACTTTTGAGCTTGAATGATGATGATTGGCATGGATTTCCCGGCATCCCGCACGCCATCCCGCAGTACAAACTAGCTGCGCCCGTTGGGCTCTCCCTGTCAGACATGCCCAATCCTACCCCGCGGACATCGAGCGGACATCACTTATTAGATGTTTGCCGCTCGCGGCTATTAGTAAAACATTTCCTTCGTCCAAGGCTTGCATCGTGAAGCAGAATGCACACCTAAACACTCTTTTTACAATACGGACTTGCGTGGAGGGAGGATTTCTCATGGACCGAGTCGGCGGGCACGACCTCACGATAATCTAATACCGATACCACTCAACGCATCAGCTGTTCCACCATGTACAGCCGCAACCCAACCCTCGCACCATTACCGACTGTGCTCCAGCACGGACTCAGGGCCGTCACCGCTCTCGCCTTTCTCTCGCTTGTATCGTCGTTTGCTCTGTTCGTCTATCTCAGCGGGAGGTTGGTAGCCTGGTACTTCAGGTCGAATCCGAAGAATGCGCAGAGAGAGGCGGAGAACGGGACAAGGGGTGCTCTTCCCTGCGAGGTTGGCGCACAGTACTTCGGAACGGCGGACCAGGGAAGGAAAGCACCGAACCAGGCCCTCGTTCTCGTCATCAACGTTCTCTTTGCGGACGTGCTGCAAGCCTGCGCCTTCTTCCTGAACATCGTTTGGGTCATAGAGGACCGGATCACGGACGAGTCGCCGGCATGCTGGGCCCAAGGGTGGTTCATCTCGACGGGTGATCTGTCATCCCTCACGTTCCTGACGGCGATCGCTGTTCATACCTACATCACTCTCATTTTGGGGCGCAAAGTCCCGACAAAATTTTTCTATGCTGTTATTTGCTTTTTATGGTTTGCCGTTTTGTTCCTGTCGGTTTTGGGCGTTATCATCACGAACAATGGAAAGGGGGTGGGTGGCTTCTACGTTCATGATACTGCTTGGGTAAGATACTTGCTCGTATCCACGATAGCATAACCGCTGGCTAACGTTACACAAACAGTGTTGGATTAGTTCTGCATACGAGCCCATGCGTTTCTACCTTCATTATCTATGGATGGTCATCCTGCAAGTTGTTGGAACAGTTTCCTGGGTTCTTGTTTTCGTGCACTTTTACCGAAGGGCAAAGGCACTCAAGCTGTCGAAGAAGTCTGGCGAGGAAAGCAGCTCCAACAACAGCGTCCTCAGTCCTACGGGCGTTGCCCCTCGAACGTCTGAGGGCGTAAGGTCGGAGGTCCACAAGCGAATCCTCTTCTTACTATACCCCCTGATTTTTCTCATTTGTACGGCACCGTTGGCAATTGGCCGCATGATGGGAACTCGCGGTGTAAAACTCTCCCCGGAGTATCTTTGTTTCGCTGGAGCCATGATCACCTCCAATGGTTGGCTCGACGTCATTCTCTTCTCGACGACCCGACGAGCTATACTCTTCCATACATCACCCGACGACCAAAACCTTGGTATCGAAACCTTCAACCTGACACCCCTCGGTCAGCAGTTTGGACACAGGGTGTGGATCACTTCAGGATCTAAGAAGAAACAGAACGAAAGAAAAAATGGCGTATTCCGCAAGCCGTCGCGGTGTCCAAGACGGGGGTCTGCGGGGAGTCATGACCGGAGTGAGAGTATGACGTCGCTTCATAACCGTGATCTAGCGGGACTCAAGGGCATTCAGATGGAGACTGTCACTCGCGTCTTTGTGGAGGTCGATTCTCCATCTGAGGAGAACGGCTACCCTTCTCGTAGCCTGGCTTCGATGCCATCTGCAGAGAGTGTTGGTCCAAGGGTGCCTCAGAGCATGGACATCGTTAGATGAATTACTACAGAGAGAAGAGAAAATCTAACAACAAGTTACACAATTTCGAGTTCTGTGGCGTTCAAGCCTCTTCCATGGTCTGCCGGCTGATTATGCAGTGAAAGACAGGCGCTAATAGTGATGACCGGCGTGACTCATTTGCCGGAATCATGGTCTTGGCAGTTCTGCGGATTGTTCCATGTTTCTGGACTACATGAAGACTCAATCAACCTTGCAAAGTATTTCCGTCAATCGGAGACAGTTTTCCAACTCACCAACTCCCTTATTATCACAAGTCTAGAAGAAAAGTTATGAGTTCAACCTCCAATGCTGGTCATAGCGGCCCTCGCACTCACGCACCTTACCGCCAAATCAGGGCGCACTATGATGACGAGACTATCACAGTCTACCAGGCCTATAGCTCATCCATTGCAACGGCCGCTATCGAGGCTCAACGACTAGATGCCTCGCCAAGCTTCAAGCTCACCAGAATGACCTGGATCAAGCCCAGCTGGACTTGGATGCTCTATCGTGCTGGATACTCCTACAAAGATCCTGGCCAGGAGCGCATTCTGGCTTTGAAGATGCCACGCGAGTATTTCATCGGACTCCTTCGCAAAGGAACGTTATCACACGCTGTAGCTGCGCAGGACGGCGAGAAGGTTCGGATCCAATGGGATCCAGAACGCACGGTGCGACTGGATAAGTTGCCATATCGAAGCATTCAAGTCGGAATCCCTGTGGGAATTTGCAAGTCTTGGGTCGAGGATGGAATCGTGGGGATCGAAGATGTCACTGGTCGTGCGAGGGAGTTGAAGAGAGTCTTGGACAATGACCCGGCAATTTCGGATAGAGATCTGGCCGAATTGGGGTTGATGCCATCAGAAGAGGAGTTTGTTGTACCTGGCGATGTGCAAGGAATAATGGAGACGACCCCGGCCCAGGGTTCATAGAGGTTGTGATAACGGAAGGGTTCTTCCGCAATGGCCAAAGAAGAATTGAGCAAGACTTCTTCAATCTCATTGCTGTGCAACTGATGCGATTGGCAGCGGGGCATATTACGACGATACTGGTTGGCCATCATGATACTGCCAGGTATCAAATGGCGCTACCGTTTGATCGAGAGTTTTTGCTGTTGGTTGATGGCTACAACACTATCACAATGCCAAATTTCCCAAGTTGATCCCGAAAATTGCCTGTTGGCGTTCTCACTAATCCGGGGAGAGAAAATCTTTCCCTCAAGCAGCTTTGTATCAGGTAGTAACAGTCAGGCTACGCAACTGGAGATAGTGATCCCGAAGCCCCACATCGGAATCTTTTCCTATGCCCTTTATGTCAGACGGATGGGGCCTGAGGGGTCATGCTGCAGCTGGGTTGGATGACGTTGATCGCCGTAAGCAATGCTTTGTTGGGTTCGGCGAAGAGTCAACAGGGTTTGCCGCAGTGATTTCCACCTCTTTCTTCCATTGTAAATATTGTTTTGCACCAGGAATATGAAGAGCCGCGGTGCGTATCTTCAAATTCCAAGCGCAGGTGCCAGCAGCGGTTGGGATCGCTGAGAACAATACATGATGGCACGAAAAGAAAGCCAGAAAGTAAGGACTGGGTGTTTGACGTGCAAGTAAGTATCGGCAGTTTTGTCATTTCATACGCTAAGAGCCGTACGCAGATTTCGAAAGATAAAATGCGACGAAAGAAAGCCAGACTGTCTGAGGTGCGCTGCCAGTGGACGCCCATGTGGCGGGTATGCTGTGCCGAGGAACGAGCTCCGGCGGCACCAGCTCCAGCCTATCCAAATATTTCCAGATAGCAGAATGCGAGCCGAGAACCGCGCAATTCAGTTCTTCTCTGAGATGGTCGGACCGAACTTATCAAGGCCAACAGAACCATACTTTTGGACGCATCTTTCTTCCTTCTAACTTTTCTTCCGCAGTTTGCCGCCTAGAGGCGCACCTAATTAACTACTATATAACTCTCACAGGGAAATATTTAAGAGCTAAAATAGTTTATAGAGAAACCTCTATAGTTACTTATAGGGGTATATAACAAAAGCGTAAATCACTTTAATTATAAAGAGTAAATATCTCCCTCTTTACGCTACTATAACCTATTACTCTTTTAATATTAAAATACTATTACTATACTACGTTAATATTATCTATTACTATTTTAAAAGTAGTAATAGTGTTACGGTCAGCTATCCGACAGTAGGGTCTGCTAACAGAAGCTGGGGATTGATACGTTCTAACAGTACAATGGGTCGTGGTCGTAGGTCGTAGTTCGTAGGCTGTAGTAGATCGGGTCTTCAGAGGCTAAGGTGATCAGTCTTAGACTCAATAAGTGATTCGTAGTGAAGGTAAGCTGAGAGTATCTGTGAGGATGAATACTAAGTTGATTGCTGAAGAGCTATAGAATTCTGACTATAAGCCAGGCTCAGGGTCATACTATATATAAGTCTAGGGTAGTTTCTTTGAACTGAGGACCGATATCTTCTGAGCAGTCCCTAGGTGTGGACCGCTTTCCTTATGTTGGTCCTAGGTCAGGACCGCTTATCTCTCGTCGGTCCTTCTTATCGTCACGTGACCTATACTATAGTTTTTCCGTTCCAAGTGAGTCCCTGTTGTTCCTGTGATCCTGTAGTACAAATGTCTTATCCTAGCCGCCCGATGCCTAAGTGGGTCGGTCAACTGTTATCCATACATAACGGGTTGTAACAAATAGCCTCTACATAATTACTTAAAAGAACTACAATAAAATATATGAATTCTTATATATATAACTTAATCTTTTAATATGAAGCTTAATAGTATATTAAATATACTACTACTTTCTACTAATATCTTTTAATAGAATAACATATTATTAAACCAAGATATAAAGATATTTTAAGCATATTAAAATAAACGTTAAGATAAATAAGTGTTACGGTCAGCTATCCAACAGTAGGGTCTGCTAACAGAAGCTGGGGATTGATACGTTCTAACAGTACACTGGGTCGTGGTCGTAGGTCGTAGTTCGTAGGCTGTAGTAGATCGGGTCTTCAGAGGCTAAGGTGATCAGTCTTAGACTCAATAAGTGATTCGCAGTGAAGGTAAGCTGAGAGTATCCGTGAGGATGAATACTAAGTTGATTGCTGAAGAGCTATGGAAGTCTGACCATAAGCTAGGCTCAGGGTCATACTATATACAAGTTCTGAACAGTACCCTTTACTCTATCACTGATCCCTCACCAGGTACCAGTAAGCGCTCATTAACTGTTGGTGAGCGCTCAGTAACTCCGACTGAGCGCTCAGTGATCCACACTGCCTGCTCAGTCTTATCTTATCATCACATGACTTATATCATAGTTCTTCTGTCTCCGAGTGAGTCCCTGTTGTTCCTATGATTCTGCAGTACAAATATCCTATCCTAGCCGCCTGACGCCTGAGTAGTGTTACGACCCGTAAACAAGGATAACAGCTGAACGACCCACTCGGGCGTCGAGCGGCTAGGACAGGACATTTGTACTGCAGAATCACGGGAACAACAGGGACTCACTCGGAGACGGAAGAACTATGATACAAGTCACGTGATGATAAGATAAGACTGAGCAGGCAGTGTGGGTCACTGAGCGCTCAGTCGGAGTTACTGAGCGCTCACCAACAGTCAATGAGCGCTCACTGGTACCTGATGAGGGATCAGTGATAGAGTAAAGGGTACTGTTCAGAACTTGTATATAGTATGACCCTGAGCCTGGCTCATGGTCAGACTTCCATAGCTCTTCAGCAATCAACTTAGTATTCATCCTCACGGATACTCTCAGCTTACCTTCACTGCGAATCACTTATTGAGTCTAAGACTGATCACCTTAGCCTCTGAAGACCCGATCTACTACAGCCTACGAACTACGACCTACGACCACGACCCAGTGTACTGTTAGAACGTATCAATCCCCAGCTTCTGTTAGCAGACCCTACTGTCGGATAGCTGACCGTAACACTTTGATTGCTCCTGTTCAGTAAGTTGACCATTGATTCCTACTAACAGTAACGAACGACAATGTCTTCCCGCGCCTCTGTCAAGTCGCCTACTCCGGGATCCTCGTCCACTTCAGGAGGACGAGCCACCCAAAACCTAGCCCAGGAACTAGGAGACCAGAAGATGAAGGACGACTCAGACAGCGAGGACGACACCGAAGAACTCAAGCGCCAGCTCAACAAGACCAATAGCGACTTCAAGGCAATGCGCGAAATGTTCAACCAGAACGCCGCGGCCCTTAGCGAACTCCAGGAACAAGCCCGCAAAAACCAGGATCTGGAGAAAGAAGTCGCCACCCTCCGAGCTGCCGCCAACGTCATATCCGCCCCAGTCGAAGGACGAGAACGCCTTAAGCTCAACACGCCTTCCACCTTCGACGGGACCCCAGGACAACTCAAAGGACACCTGGTACAAGTTCGAACCTACCAGGCCTTCCACATAAACACCTTCCAGAACGACACCGAACGCGTTGTACACGCAGCCACCTTCCTTCGGGGACGAGCCCTTGCCTGGTTCGAACCCCTTCAACAGGAATGGCTTGACAACCCTGTCGAAAAATACAGCCAAGAAGTCAAGGACATCTTCTTCAGCTTCACGGGCTATGTTAAGGCCCTAGAATCTCTCTTCCTTGACCCCGATGAACGAAGACAGGCCGAGCGAGACCTGTCCCACCTACGACAAACCAAGTCAGCTACGCTCTACGCCGCAGAGTTTAGGCGATTAGCTGCAAGACTCCACATGACCGACGAAAGCAAAGTTTTTGCCTTCTATCAAGGACTCAAGGACGAGGTCAAAGACGAAATGGCCAAACTGGAGACACCCCCTAGCTTCCTCGCTTACGTCGAACATGCTATTAAGGTTGATAATCGCCTCTATGAACGACGAAAGGAACGAGGAGAGAAACGACAAAACCCAAATTCAGGACGCAAGTACCAATGGCAGCCCCAACAGAAGTTCAACAACCAGCGGAATGACAACAGACCCCGCAACAACTGGAATAACACCCGCCAGAGCACTGCCTATGGACAACACAGCGGACCTATGGACCTCAGCATGATGACCAAACCCAACAACAAAAAACCTTGGAACCCCAAGTGCTACAACTGCAACAAGCAAGGCCACATCGCCAAAGACTGCGGACAGCCTAAGAAGCTTCCCTGGAGACCAGTGGCAGAACGACCTCGACAAGTCAACACAATTGCAAAAGCCCCACATGCATCCCAATCGTGGACCGGATGCTACGACGACAACTGCCGAATTCACCTCGAAGACAAAGAAATGTCAGGACACTACCCAAGGGACAGCAACCCTGGACGGTCTGGTTACGATATGACCATCCCGGACACTCGCCCTAGGACCCTGGCAATGATGCATTCCAGCAACAGCAAAGTGGCTAGAAAACCAGTCGAACAACTCAACGAGATGCTACGAATTCAGCGACTAGAACCAATCACCCCCCGCATGACTAGCCAACAACTCCACTATGAAGAACAACAAATCCAGAAGGAAATAAAGCTGATCCAGCAAGAAGACGACAGACAAGTAAGACTATACCAACAACAAGAATCAGAAGAAGAACCAGAACACCAACACGATCCTCTGATGGAACAACAACTCCTCAGTATGACCAACAACTGGACTTTCGGAGAAGGAAGCTCTTCCTATGACTCGGATGAACCTCGCGACGTTGCCCGACAACGCGCTCAGACAGAAATCACCTATGGGTTCACCCCCAGTGTGGACGACTCCAGCTCTGAAGAGGAACCCGACGACCAGGAAGGAAGAATCAATCAACTTCTGAGATACCAAGAAATCGACATGCTTCAAGACAAGCAACAACGCCACTTCTATGGCACCTCAGCAGCCCAACGAGACCGAGGCTACGCCCCTCAGCTACACACGGAAGATCATCCCGCGCTAAGAAGCAACCACCGGCTTCACCGAACCCTCTTCTGGCCCCAGTGCTTCCACGACAAATGCAAGGAACACATAGGAGAAAAACACGATTACCAGTTCTATCCCAGAAGACATGACGACGAGCCTATCCATGAGATCTACTCGACCTCCGTTATGATTGGATGGACTATGGTACTGTTCGAAGACAACCTCGCGGTCTTCAGACCCAGTCCTCAGTTCCCCATGAGATGTCAACATGACGACAGCATGAAATGGGACGAATGCCAACAAGACGAATGCCAAGTTCACTACCAAGAAAAGGCACGAACCTGGAGAATCGCAAAGAACGGACCTAGACCCCCACAAGTCAGGATCCGCGAAAACAGCCTCGCAAAAGCACGGCGAGAAGGAAAGCAAATCACCTACCCAGGACAACCGGATCAGTCAAAAAACTAGACTCGCCTACCGACGACGGATCACGACAGGCAACAGACATAAGATCCATTCATCAAATGTCACAAGGACATAAGGGTAATATCGAACTCGAAGTTACCATCAATCAGCAGATAACACTCGCGCTGATCGACAGCGGAGCCGAAGCAAACTTCATTGCCCCCCGAGCCATCAATAGGCTAGAAATACGATGGGGAGGAAAAGAACGACCATATCAGTTACACACGGCAGAAGGAGAAGAATTCAAGTACGAAGGAGGTACCATCTATAATGAGACTGCGCCCCTCGAGATGAGCTACCTGAATCGAAAAGAAAGAATCCAATTCGACATTGCCGATCTAGGAACATACGACATAGTGCTAGGACTACCCTGGCTACGAACAAGCAACCCACGGATAGATTGGAGCAAAGGCCAACTCCATTGGGACCACGATGATTCAGTCCCTGAGCAGCCCTGTCAGAATCAGGCCTCAAACGAATCAATACGACAAGGAACAGCAAAACGATACCTCTGTTACCTCAAGGCAAAAGAAGCCGTACCACCACCACCAACA